CTTATATAAACAACTCTACCTATTACTTTAGCTGATCCTATGAGAAGAATTTACTCATCAAAGCTGAGAACAATGGAGTGGACGTTATGTATTTCATTGTTCAGTGTGTATGTATTTGTTTGTCCATTTATTCAGTATGTAATTCCATCATTGTTAATTTCATTCAGTAATTTCTGTCCTTCAACCCAAAAAGCTCTTAAAGCATTTAGCAATATGTAAAATGTGTACAGCTGAAATATCTCCTGACTTCAAGATGAATTGAACCAGATCAACAAACAAATGGCAAAACCATCACATAAAGTTGGCCAAATGAGTTTCTTTCATGTCATGGTGTCTCCCAGTCTTCCCCAATTAAGAGTGCTTTAGTTGTTTTGGAAATCATGGAAAAGAATGGCTATTTGTGCATCCAGAAAAAGAAAATTGCAGAGGAATTCTGAAAAAGCCTGAGGTCTAACTATCCTTGGCCAGACTTCAATGAACAAAAGAACACACAACATCTGACATCTTGATGGTTAGTCCCAACTAGAATCAAACTATTCAGTTATTGAATGGTGAGTCAACAAGAACTGATTGAATGAACCCACTCTAATAATAGCTAACAACAATATTTAGGCCAACATTTGGCATCCATGACTTTAAAGAAAACTCTACATAGGTCCCACCAAACCTTCATGGTACAGGTATGTTATGTATCCTGACAATCTTCTTCTCCACAATTTTTTTTTCAAAAGTCCCTCCTGGGTCTAAAATGGTACAGAGAGGTCCAAACCATGGAAAAATACCCTCATGTCCCTTAGAGGGGACATTTGGAGATAAGATTTGAAAATAAATAAATAAAAAGCACTCCTGGAATGGTTTGGGGACTACAAAATGCCCCTGGGGTACTACATGTGGCACTTTTCCTATCCCTCATCTGACCCATCCCCCTTGACTAGATAATATTATATAACATAAGTCTCCATTCCCAACTATGACCTATGAATTCTAGGAAAAAATATCATTCTTCTTGGTTTAGCCATTGTCATATAGATTCATCCCAGTGTAGCCAAAAGTCTATGAAGGGAAATTTTATTTAGCTCAAATTTAGAGAGGGTCGGCTACAAGGATCTTGTGAGACCATTTCCCACATGTATATCAAGAGTCCAGTGGATCTAAGAATTGATGCAGTGACAGAATTCTCCAATTAAAGTATTATTTATTAAAGGGGAAAATCGCACAACAATACACACAAGATTTGAAAGATTTGACACACTCATGCAAGGCTTGGGAAATCAGGGGTTAGGCTGGGATAAATGCCGAGGCATCACTACGGTGATACTTACTACTGATGAAGCCTTCTCTGGGATCAAATTGAGCAAAGTGGTGTGAGACACAGCTGTTCTGAGAGCGTGAGTGGAACAGAGGTGTCAGTAGCCAGATCAGAGAACAGAGTGGCACAGGGTCCTCCTGAACTTAGACTGGCGACACTGAGTAAGAAACCCAGGGGTTTTTAAGGGATCAAACTTGCCCCTGGTGAGGTGCTTGATTGCTTAGTTAAAGCCTGGACAGAGGGGATTGATTGTTTCGCTAAGCTTAGACAAAGGTGTTAGATTGCCTGGGTGAGGTAATCTGGTCTGACAATATTCAAGAGAAATGGGAGTGGATTAAGGTGTTTGGCCGTCTCATTGGATGAGACATTTCGACCATTATTGCCCATCCTTCTGATTATGGAGGTGATGATGGTCCATTTGCAACTCCCATACTATCTGTCTGACTATGGAGGTTGGGGATTTTTCAGTCTTTCAGTGACCTCTTTTCCATGCCATGGAGGCACCTGAAGTCCACTGCAGAGTGCATCTGGGGCCATGTGGAATTCATACAGACACCAAAATTCAGAAAAATGCACTTTCAGTAACACCAGAGTGTGAAAAAGCAAACTTTATGGACTACAAATTCCTAAAAAACCCCCCCCACCTAGTCAGGGATACTTAGAGTTGTAATCCAAAAAGTTACTTCTCCAAGCTCCGATTCATCCATAAGTCCATCTTTTTCTGTACCTACATTAAGAAACATTTTGAAGAAATCTGCATAGAAATTTGAATCTTACATAATGTATGAAAATATCTTTTTTGAGTCAAGATGTTTGATGTAATATTTGAGAACCACAGATGCTGGTGGAAATGTTACTGGTCTACTAATTAGCATGGAAAATGCAGATCAGTTTGCAATAAAATGTGCAAGAAATAGATTAATCAAACACTCCTATTCTGACTAGTGCTAGGAAAAGGCACTCTTTTTTTTTAATTTCAGCTCCCAGAATTCCACCGGTCAAGTTTTGTCAACCTCTGAATCTCAAATACCAAAGACATATACTAGACAATATAAACACTGTGGCCAGAATGGGGCATTGCTGCAATGTCTCTCAAGTTGACTTTGGCTGATGGTAAGCCTATCATGTCATATATGTGTGTAAGTTCACTTGCACATCTGCAGGCCCTCAAAATGTCCTGATTAGGTAAGGACAGTCCTAATGAATCTTCTGTTTCATTTTTTCAATTGCTTTTTAAAAGTGAACATTTATTTCCTGTTTTCTTTCCAGTTTTTCTCTTTGTCCTTTACTTCAATTACTGCAAACATGGTAGAGTGGTTTGAGCATTGGATTGTGACTCTTGAGACCAGAGTTTGAATCCTGGATCAGCCATGTAAAAACCCACTGGGTGACCTTGGGTAAGTCGCATTCTCTCAGCCTCAGAGGATGGTAATGGCAAACCTCCTCTGAACAAACTTGCTAAGAAAACTCTTTGATAGGTTTCCCTTAGGGTCATCATAAGTTAGAAATGACTTGAAGGCATACAACAACAACAGGGTTTAATGTGCAAAAATATTTTGCACTCAACTTAGTGAGGGAGAGGGAAGAAATGAGAGGAGCTGGAGGAATCTTGCCCTTCCCAGAAGTTTTGGGCCAAAACAAACTGCTGCAGCCTCCTCCTGTCTTTTCTGTTTGCCCTCATTAATTACTGTGGACATCTTGACCACACTCTGATGTTCTTGGCCACACCTGTCTCATTTCCCTTTAGTGAAGTGTTGAAAGGTATGATGTGGTTTTACTATTTGGCCATTAGGTAACAGATGTCTTCATTTCACGATTGCATAAATGGAGTTCCACAAGACAACCTTTTGCCATGGGCCTAAATCATATTGTTAATCCAACTAGAGTAGAGTCAGGGAATCAACTGGATTTGTTCAATGGATCTACTCTAGTTGGGACTAACCAACCAAATTCCAGCCACACAGTTGCACATTCTTGGATGTTGTGCAATAATTTGACAGTCAGAGTTTCACTTGATTCACTGGCACTGTACAATAAATAGATATATTGGAGGATTCACAATTGGTTTCTTATTGTTGCTATTCAGCAGAAGGGTGGTTTGTTGCTATTCAGCAGAAGGGTGGTTTGGAGCAACCAGCATGCAACTACATGTAAATTTATAATATGAACACACAACATAGAATCTTGCCCCTTGCAAAGTGGATTTCCTTCTGTTTTCCACCTAGACAGTGTGATGACTGCTTCATAAGACCACCAGCAGGGGAAGTAAAATGACATTAGTTTACAGAAACAAATCTTCAAAGTTGTAACAAGAACCCCCCAAAGATAATACTGTGTCAAATACCCTGATTAATTTCTTTAAAGTTCCACACAAAAGAAAGCAAAGCACCTGAGATGCATCTGGCTAAAATCACCATTAAAGCCTTACTAAATGAAAAAATCAATATTGGAATGAGATGGCAGTAATGAAAGAAAGAAAAATCACAGCAGTATCTCAATCAAAATTACAAATTGCTAGGTCATAAATGGGGAGCCACAGTCAGTATTATTGGAGAAGCCAGCAGCACCACAACAATGATGGAGGTCTGCTCATGGTTTGGTTAAGTGCCAAGAAAGATAAATATGGTCACTGTAGATAAAACAGCTGGAGGAATATACTGGCTAAGAGTGACAGCTGTAATTTAGGGCCTTTGCAGACTGCCAGAAATAGTGCAAATTGAGTCCACTTTAAGGGTCAGGGTTAGTGCTAGGGAATCATGAGAATTGTTTTTTTTCTGAGAAATTGAGCCTTCTCTGTCAGAGAGCTCTGGTGCCATAATAAAATACAGTTCCCATGATTCCCTAACCCTAACCCTTAAAGTGAACTCAGTACTTCAACTATATCTTCACAAGGTTGCTTCAGTAAAACACTTCCACTATCCATAATATAGGCTTAATAACATTATTGGCTGAGATCCTGTATTGCTGATTTAGGGGCTCTGCAGACAGTGCAAAGTACTGTCTTGGAGCCAGGGAAGGGGAGAGGCAGCTGGATGCTGGACACC